TCCCTGGATTGGGAACTCCTTGAAATCCTTCTTGCAGCATGATTCATAAGGCCACCTATGTCATGGAAGTTTTGATGGAAACTTTGAATGCCTTGGCTCCTAGACCCTTAGTATGTTATTCTACTGTTTCACTAGTTGCTTAACATACTGAGTGGGCTAAGCATGGCTAAGGAGGCCGACGAGGATTGGAGGAGGTTTATGAAGGACATGAAGTGGATTCCCCCAATTGAATACCATGTGTTCGTTTTCATCAAATGAACTATTAGACCTTGTATTCATTATCATCCCCACGTTGCCCCATCGGCCAAAAGCTACACCCTGTGCAAAAGCTTCAGTTCCAAGATGCTCATTTGATGGGTCCCGTAGCCACTGCATAACAAACTCTTTGTCCTTGCCTCTACACAGGAGATCATTTCTAGGCAACGATACAACTTCGCATGCTTTGAACAGCTCATACTGCTGCTCTTGCCTTGTGGTTTCTAAAAGATGAAGAATGTGAACTGTGAATCGATCTCCCTCGACAAAATCAGCACTGAAATCGTCAATAACCAACTGCCCGAAGACAGTAGCGACATTGCGTCGAGCATTACGTGAGCATGATGTTGGATCAACCTTTTCAACCAAATTTACACCTGCAATTTCCACACCTGCAGTAAAATCATTCACATCATCAACATTGTAGTTGTCAATTAGCTTAGTTTCTCCATCTCCATGATACGCATCAGGATCCATGATGCAGTGCAGCTTTCGGCTATTACTCAAGTAGGGCTCGGACCATTCCACCAGCTTCTCCTCCTTCTTTGGCTCCGACTTGTCCACCGATCGCCGCCCCGTCAAAAGCTCCAGAAGCACCATGCCGAAGCTGTACACATCGTTCTTAGTTGTCAGGTGACCTTTCATCACGTATTCAGGCGTGGCGTAGCCCTGTGTCCCCATCACCCGAGTGCTCACATGCGTCTCTTCACCCGAAGGCCTCATCTTAGCAAGCCCAAAGTCGGACAGCTTAGCATTGAAGTCAGAGTCGAGAAGGATGTTGGATGTCTTGAAGTCGCGATAAATGATGGGCTTCTCCGCGCCGCAAAGGAAAGCAAGCCCTCTTGCTGCTTCCGTCGCAATCTTCATCCTTGTTCCCCATGACAGTACTGCCACTGATATTGATCTCTTATAGAGATGGTTCTCCAGACTGCCACGTGGCATGAATTCGTAGACCAGAATTCTCTCTTCATC